CCCCACCCCAAGGCTGTCCTTTGATGGGAGGTAGTGTTAGTGCAGTTTTTTCCTGAGAGTGACATCTGGGGTTAAGATTTCTGGTGTCTACTCACCTGTCACCACCAGGTCTAAGGGGTCACTGTGCTGTGACCATCCTGCAGAGGTGTGAGTGTAACAGTAATACCGGCCTGCCTGCACTTGTGTCGCAGATGGAATGGTGAGTTTTGCCTCGGTGCTGTTGTCTGTTTGAGTCTGTTGGACCCAGGGCTCTTGGCTTTCCTCTTTATATATCACATACTTTTGGGCTCCCAGGGTTTCCTGACACCAGATGGTAACAGGACTCCCTGAGGGGATCACAGAGCCAGGATGAGCCCAGATGGTGGGTTTATGAAGGATCCCTGCCAAAAAGTAGAAAAGAAGGAGGTGCATCTGTTAGGAGAATATCACAAAGAAGGTCATATTTGCCCATGACATCTAAACTGATTTGCAATTTTAGAAGGACACTTAAAGACCTCACTATTCCCTGGATTTTGAGTTCCAATGTTAATTAGACCCCAATTTCTGCACCTGAAGTCAAGCCGTCCCACAGATCTGTGAATCTGAGTTCAGTAGCTGTGCCTGGAGATCACCCACAACACATCAGGTCCTTTCCTGGGATCCTGTGTCAGTTACAATATCATGTAAAGTAAAGTTCTGCACTTCCTTACCTGAGACCAGGAGCTCTAGGTGGTTAGTGGACACTGACCATGCCTGGCGGTGCTCAAATAATACCCATAGCATGTGAACCTCCACCTCTGGTTGGGGGTCACAGGACACACAGTGAACACAGTTCCAAATTACTCAGGGTGTATATTCTGTGAGGGCAAAGGCCTGGACAACTTCTCATCTTCCTTCATTAGAATAAACATGTTATATGCCTGTTCTGACACACACTGAAGGGTTACGTGCCCTTCTGAGGTCACTACAGGGCTGGAAATGGCAGACAAGGTGACTTTGCTTGATTAATATCCTAGGAGAGAAGAGAAAGCCTGCCATGTGGACTTACATGAAAAGCATTTTCCTCATTTCTCATATTTGAGAAAAGAACTCTCAGTAAACATATTCCTTTCCTTAAGGCAGAATCTGGAAATGGTAAAGGCCTCTCACCTGTCACCACCAGATCCAGGAAGTCACTTCTTTCTGACATACCATTATTACTTTTATATTCACACCAATATTGGCCTGCATAGTACCATTCAACTGATGAGATAGAGAATGTGGCTTTGTTTTCAGTTTTTAGAAGGGTTGTTGGTATTGGGTAATCTGGACTTCCTTCTTTGTAGAGAACATATTCCTTGGCCTCTAAGGGCCCTTCACAGAAGAATGTCACCTGGTTGCTAATGGCTACCACATTTCTTGGCACTGCCTTGAGTGTAGGTTTAGAGAGAGTCCCTGAAAGAAAATTGGCACCTGCTTTCCAAGAACTCTCTCTCAGATGTAAGCTCTCAGAATTAGCAAATTTCAGGTATCCCCAGCATCACCCCACACCTGCTGCTCTTTATCTCCTCTGTTCAGGAATTACCTGTGGTCCCCACCAAGGATGTCCAAGCTGGGACAGCTTAGAAGACACTCACCTGCCAATACTGGGATCCTGAAGTCCACACTCAGTCCTGCAATAGAATTACCTGTGAGTGCTTGAAATTAAACAAGAGCAGGGCCTCTACTCCCAGGTCCCTTCTACAATTTCTGAGACATCCTAATGGCCCAAATCATGGTTGTGAGGTGGATTCCCTCATAGAGGAGAATCCTCTCTCCTCATTTGGCATCTCACCGAGATACAGCAGGACTGTAAGAAAGAGTGTCATGGTATCTTCCAGTTGCCACAGGTGTGCAGATGATTGGCCTCCTTTCCAAACACACACAGACACAAAATGTGTGACCTAGGCAGGCTGGTTTCTGCTTCCTGTCATAAGGATGTCTTACTGGCAGTGTCTGAGGAAGAGGAACTGCTCTAACCAGGCGCCTGACTCTTCTTTTCTTTCTGGTGCTGTGATGGGATGGGCTCCAGAATTTGTGGCTTTTGTATCTCTGTGGGTCTTTATTTTTTCTTTTTGTTTTTTTGACAGGACCTCTTAAAATTCCTGTGGGTCTCAGACTCCTCCTCCTTCTCCCTCAGCTTGCTGTGTGCTGGGATTAAAAGCCCAATCTGATTGTGGTCTCTTCCTGCAGAACATCTCCACTGTAACCCTCTACGTCTGCCTGTATGTTCCCACTCACCACAGACCAGGACTTAATGCACAATAAACCTGGTGACTTCCTCAGCCAACACTTTCACTTGCAGGACTCTGAGGTGGCTGGTCTTTTTCTCTTAGAGTTTCTTCTTGGTTCTCCTTTTCTTTATCAGCCCTATCAAATTCATCACCAGTTTCCTAGCCTGCCAGCCAGATGCTTTGGGAATGTTGTATGAACTTTAACTATGGATACAAGAACAATGCCTACACATGACACATGAGACACGAGTGATAGAAACAAGGACAAGACTCCACACAAACCTAGCTGGTGAAACAATGAGTTTAATTAGGGTTCCTTAAAAGTGTGTTGTCAATATTTGGGCTTTTTGGTATTCAGTTTTTGTTTT